AAATAGTCCATGTGACATCAACCTTAATGTTATGAAGCTACGAGAACACTTTTTGTGCGCAAAGAAAACAAAAATAACTTTATTCAGCAATTTCTTCTCTTCCCTGTCTGTCTTTGACACTTGTAGTACCACGAGGCATGTGTGGGCATTCTTCTGCTTGCAAACAAGGTGCAACGCATCCAGGTTCTACATCAGAGCACCAGCTCCTGCGTCAACAGCATCATTACACGCATGCATGGTACTCTCGTGAATGCGTGTTGAAGACTGACAGGAAAGTGAAGAAATTGTTGAATAAAGTCGTTATTTTTGTTTTCTTTGCACACAAAAAATATTCTTGTAGCTTCATAAAATTAAGGTTGAACATGGACTATTTTAACAATGTCCTTACTACTTTTCTGGGCCTTGAACATGTCAGTTGTGTTGCTATCTATGAAGGGTCGGAAAGCTCTCAGATTACATCAAAAATATCTTAATTTGTGTTCTGAAGATGAACGGTTTTATGGGTTTGGAATGACATGAGGGTGAGTAATTAATGACAGAATTTTAATTTTTTGGGTGAACTATCCCTTTAAATTGTTGTCAGAATACTAAAATGTTTCTTTGTCATGAGACATTTTCATATATTTATGAAGTCAAAAGTTTTATTTGACTCCTAACGGTTAAATTATTAGTGGCTCCCTAGTTGTTTCTTTAGTCTGGAGCCCTGTCAACCTGGCCAAAACATGATCTAGACAGTGATGGGTCACAGATGAGATGGGTGTGAATTGAAAAGACGCGAAACGAGGGGGGTGACTGGAAAGAGTCTTCTTTGAGTGAGCTAAAAGGCTGTATGATATGACATTAGTTTGCCTCTTATAACTAGTTATGGTTAATTATTCATATTTCCTGTCATGAGCTGATTCGCTACACAGTGATTTAGAGATGTTTAGGGATGTTTGTGGATATTAGAGCCTTAATAGTTATTGATTTCTTGTGACTGGGAGAGCTCATTAGTATTGAATTACACATTTCTCATTAGTGCTGTTTTAGGCACATCTAGCTGTCACGCGTTGACAGATTAAAGGAAGGTTCCACGCCGCTAAGAAACGTCAAACATCGCCAAATTGTGTGATGTAATCTAAGAGCTTGTTTATTTAGTTTTTTGTTCTCAGTTTTTATTAAATGTATCACTACCAATAGTTTTACAACTTACCAATGTGCCCTTGAGCAAGACATTTAACCATGACAAGAAGAGGTGGGAATTATTTTTTGCACTTCGTGATTTTAAGGAGTTTCGATTCAAGAATAAATTCAAGGCATCTCATTACCCAAGTACTGTACTACGACTGATTCATCACCTGTGAACGTGAAACCCTCAATAGAATACAGAGTTCAATTGCTCAAATTTATTAACTGAAACGTTATTGTCAGTTTTTGGCTAAATAAAAACTTTGATTTTGGTTTTGGTTCATAGTAAAAGATTAATTTCAGTCACTAAACTTAAAGGTATAGTTCACCAAAAAACTTTTTTTTTCTGCTGTCATTTACTCACCCTCTTGTTACAAACCTGTATGAGTTTCTTTCTTCTGTTGAACACAAAAGAAGATATTTTGAAAAATGTTGGTAACCATTCCAAACAGGTTGCTGGTAGCCATAGACTTCCATAATATTTTTTTTCCCCATACAATGGAAATCAGTGGCTACCAGCAGCTCTTCTTTTGTGGTCAGCAGAAGAAAGAAATTCACGTAGGTTTGGAACAACATGAGGGTGTGTAAATGACAGAAATTACATTTTTTGGTGAACTATCCAAAATGCGAACAGGTCTTTACTATAATGCAAAATTACAACGTATTTGAGAAACAGTTGCATTCATGAGTCTTTTCTTTTCCCCCCTTCTTGGTGATAATTGTACTGTACTGTAAGGCACTGGAAAGAATCTACGAAATGACAAATTAGTTGTAATTGGCAATTAGAGAGGATAGATCAGCATGCCTGCAGTGTAGACTCTCTGAGCCACCGGAGGTTTTTATTTTGTTACTAGGTATTTTTAGGTATCTTGTTTACATTATAATCTCATTTGCTTCAGCACTGGGGAGCGTTTTAACAATATAAAGGTGTTGTTGTTTTTCCCTCCAGTAAGAGAAGTTTAGAGCAGTTGCACAGCAGTGAGTAATTTCAGGCCCGTTGGACACTCAGAGCTGTCTTGCATTAGTGTCTTACTATTGTGTAGTTCTTCTGATCCAGGTTCATCCAGTCTTACTCTTCAGATCTTCGGGGAGACAGACTGGTGTTTATCCCTCCTGTCCCATGAAAGAGTTCTTGGAGCAGGATGAGTCTTGAGATTGGAAAGCCTCAAAGGCAACGAGTGGCCTCACTTTTTTTTTTTAATAGAGCCAGTGAGGTTCATGTAACCTTAGCAAACGGGCAAGCATACACATGCACACCTTCAGTGCTCTGTTTGGCCTGGATAAAAGCCTGAATGCGGTTCCTTCATGTCGGTCCAGTTCAAGCGATCTTTAGTGCCCTTTGTTTTCACACGCAAGGCTTGGAAAAACACACACACACACACACACACACACACACACACACACACACACACACCAGCCATCCTAACATTCATTTGATCAAACTCTTTTTCTTTTTTTCTCATTTTCTTTCTTGTCCTCCTATTCTTTTTTTTTTGTTTCTCATCCTCCCATCTTATCCCTTGTTCTTTCATGTATTTCCTCTTCTCTCACTCTTTCTGTCTGTTTCATGCTCTAAGCTGAGCAAAGTGGGTAAATCTGCAGATCTGCTGACAGCTGCCTTTGAGAGAGGCCCACAGAAGGGGGATGAAAACAGCACAGAGGTGCACAGACGAATGGAGCTTTGATTTTTCAGTTGTTCGAGCCCGTAGACTTGGGCACAGCATTACGTTACATCAAATAAAGCTGTCGGCCCAAATTACATAGAATTGTGAGCAAATAACAATTCTTAAGTTAATCTTTATTTCCTGTTTGGTTTGTTTTTAAGTTTGAGAAAGGGATGTGGTTTCTGAAAGGTCAGTTTGCCCTCTAGTTAGTTGTCTCAGTGTCTGGCTGGCCGTCTGTCTGCTCTGCGGTGAGTGCTGCTTAGTCACTGTCTGATCCTCCTCTGAACTGAACAGTACCACATCAGTCTCTCTCTCTTCGGTTTCCCATGTTTTCTTTCTTTCATTCATCCTTTCTTCCTGTCTGCCTTCCTTTCTTTCTGCCTACTTTCCTGCCTGTTTTACTTCCTTCGTAAAGTACCTTTTTACCTACCCACTTACATTCCTACCTTTGTTCCCTCATTCCTGCCCACCCAAAAACCTGCCCATCTACATGCTATCTGCTTTTCTTTCTTCCTTTCTTCCCTCCTTCCTACCTACTTACATACTTATCTGCCTACCTACCTTCCTTCCTGTCTACCTTCCTAACCAACTTCCTTCTTATCTACCTACCTACAGTACCTTAACCACCTTCTTTCTTTCTTACGTCCTTCTTACCTGTCTACCTATCTGCCTACCCACCTTCTTCCTTTTTTACTTCCTTCCAGCCTGCCTACATAACAGACTACCTTCCTATGTATTTTTCTGCTTACCCACCTATCTACATATCTACCTTCCTGCCCACCCACCTACAGTACCTACATATCTACAAAACCACATTACTTTCCCCCCCGTACTTCTTTCTTACCTATCTGCCTACCTGTCTTTCTTCCTTTTCTACTTCCTTCCAGCCTGCCTACATAACAAACTTCCTTTTTTTCTGTCTCCTTACCTACCTTCCCTCATGCCTACCTACCTATATTCTTTCCTTTCCACCTTCTTTCCTCTCCTTTATTTCATTCTTACCTACCTACCTACCCTATCCCATCTGCCTACCCACCTTCTTTCTTTATTTTCTTTTTACCTACCTACTTAATCCTCTGCTCTACCTGTCTGCCTACTCACCTTACTTCCTTCCTTCTTTGCTTCCTTCCTGTCTACCTACCTAGCCACCCTCCTTACTTCCTATCTACATTCCTTCCATTCTTCCTCCCATAATTTATTCCTATCTATCTGTCCACACCACCGCCCATCTATCTTCCTTCCTTCCTTCCTTCCTTCCTTCCTTTTCAATACCTTCTAGTCTTTATAATGATATTCTGATTCTTTTGTCATTTGTTGTGATTATCATTCTCCTCACTATGCCCAGGAGATGCATGCTAAAGTAGAGGAAGCCCCATGGGGCTTTATGCTGAGTGGTGGTGGGGGTGGGTGTGGGGGTTCTCTTGGACAGAGGGGCCCTCTCTTGAACAGTCTGCCTAAAAAGGGTTCATTCAGTTCAGTTGCCTCCTCCCTCTCTCTGGCTGTGGATCATTGTCAGGCCTGAAAGGAGCTTTGACCAGTTCCAGGCGACTGGTTCTGCACCATAAAACTCCATACACATTGATAAATGGGCTTGCCCCACAACATTGTGAATCCATTGGCATATCCCAGGGTATTTTGGGATTGTTAGACAAGGAGGCAGTCAGTAAGTTAAGCAACACAGACGGTGCAAGACAGACAGAAAAAGAAATTCAGCACAGACAAACAGAGTCCAACAAGGTCAGGCTGAAAGACAAGCCAGACAGACTGATTGCTCATATGTAGCACAAAAGCTAGCAGTGATCTTATGTGATAGTGTTCTGTACTGTATAGCTGAGTGAAGACTATATATATGTGGTTGTTCGTTTCTTTTCATTTTGCAGATATCCATGTTATGGACAGTATGTGATAGGCTCCAAAGATAGCAGTGTATAGGTTTTAAAAAACCTTGCAGCAAAGGGTTTATTACAGAATCTCTGCCTTCACTTTACACTTAACACCCTCCTCCACTCCACACATGGTCACGGTCTATGAAAGTTGGCTGTGGTTATCACGGTCACCCTTCGCCTGTCCTATGAGTTTGATCTTACATTATCCATGAATCCAAGTTGCTTTGGAAACCCTGGGATCCCACTTTTACTAATCCTCCACTTCTTTTTCTCTTTCCTGCAGGGAGTTCCTCAGCTACCTTGTGCCAAGGCTTTATACAACTATGATGGCAAAGAGCCCGGAGATCTCAAGTTCAGCAAGGGTGACATCATCATCTTGCGCCGACAGGTGGATGAAAACTGGTACCATGGAGAGATGGGCGGAGTCCATGGATTCTTCCCCACCAACTTTGTCCAGGTCATCAAACCTCTCCCACAGCCGCCCCCTCAATGCAAGGCCCTGTATGACTTTGAGCTGAAAGACAAGGAGGCTGACAAGGACTGCTTACCGTTTTCAAAGGTGCTGGAAATCTACTCACAGTACAGACTTCGACCTTCATCTTTACTCTTTGCTCATTCACACACACCTTCCATTTACAAGTTCAAAAACAAATGGTAACGCATAATGCATTGGGTCATAAACTAACAATGAACATTTTTTGCAGCCTTTTTTAGATCCACCCCATGATCACTTAATTTGCATGGAAAAATAAGCATAATTTCTTTTTTGTATGTTTCACTTAAAATGAAAACAATACAGGTTTTGAAAGACGTGGGTGAATACTTTTGGGGTGAGCTAACAGCACTGTTTTAATGTTGGAGAAAATGGAAAAACAGAAAAACATTTTCTTCTGCTTGCAACTTAAGTGTTGATCCCTCCGAGCCATTTGTGTTTTGGAAAGATTTTTATTAAAAAACAAACAAATGCCTGGCTTTCACTGATGCCTATGAGTTGCACTATTTTTTATAAACTTTTTAACAACTTGCCGTGAGGGCTTTGGCTGAATAACAAGGAACCTGCTATTTTCTGTCCACCCTCAGGATGATATTCTTACTGTGATTCGTCGTGTGGATGAGAACTGGGCGGAAGGCATGCTGGGAGATAAGATTGGCATCTTCCCCATATCGTATGTAGAGGTGAGTCATATCAGTGCATTTAAAACTGTCATTGTTCCCTAATGTTTTCAAGTTTATATTTAGATTTTTACTGGAAACCTTCAAAATATTCTCCTGCATTTTATGAGTTTACTACCCTTTGTTGCCATTTTTGTTGTCACATCCTGTTCATTTGTTCAATTTTCACCCCAACCATGTCTTTGTTTCTGTTCTTGTTGAAACGCACATCTCTTTAAGATCTCAGAGATCCGTCAAATTGTTGCTAATTATTTGAGATGTATTAAAACCTCATCAGCCTTTTAATTTTTTCTGATGCAAATATCAAAACATGAACAGCCTTGTCTTTAAACACTGCTCTCTTGAATCACTCAACCTCAAGCAAGCATAGGTACAATTATCATAGCCAACTTCACGTGTTGCAGCAGCTTACTTCTCACAACACCTCATGTCCCTCCTCCCATAAACATAGGCAAAAACCTTTATGAACCCTGGCAGAGCCAGCGTGAGCTCTCCACCAGCCACGTGTCTAACCTGTGGGGAAAGAATAACCATCAAAAGACATTCAAAAATAGCTTCTGTCAGAATAGTGCTGCTTAAATAGAATCTCTCTCATGCAGAGCGAGAGTACGAGGGAGGAGAAGGGGCGGAGGCTTTGAGCTTGAACAAAAGCCCTGGCAATTTTCACTAAACCAGACTTTTTCCCAGTGAATGCTTTTGAAAAAGTAATCTCTGATACCGGTGACATCAAAAGTGACATTCACTCAGGTACATTATTGAAAGAGAGTAACTGGGGGGAAAGATTTTTCTGTTCCCATGTCACCTTCTGCCACCATAAATTTATTTTTCAAAGAGTGACTTGGAAATGGAATCAGGCATGTGTCTTTCTTAGTAACTGTCACCTATGCACTAGGGCTGAGGGATATGTCAAAAATATCTTATCGATAACCGCCTTTAAAAATATCGCGATATCCGATAATATCGTCTGCGTAAGCCCCACCTCCACCACGCCCCGCCCCCGCCGAGACAACATTGCCGACATGCACCATAAACACACCATGTTCAGTTTGGTCTTAATTATTGCCACAAAGTTTGGTTTTACTTTTCTTAGTTTGGGCTTAAACTAACAGAAAACATTAGCTTTGCTGTTATTTTGGTGTTGCTAATCATTTTCACTCTGTTCTTATCAAATTTGTGTTTGAAATAAATTTCGTTTTGTGAGGAGAACTGTTGAGGAAAAATAATAGAACCCAATTTTAAGTTCATCATGGTGAAGTTGGACATTCTGGCGGTGATTGTAAGAATGATAAATGCATGTTGATGTCATATAATATTGTCTTGAATAAAATATGCCTATTTTCCGATGTTTCTCTTTCTTTTTGGCATTATGGCCTGTATAGACATTTCATGATGGTAAGTTTAATTTCCTTAATTATAACAATTGCAGCGTTGTTTTTAAACTTGTAGTAACGTATAAACTTGTAGTTTAAACTAGTAACGTATTTGATATTTATCATGTATGACTAAAATCATACAGGGATTAAAAACAGGGATTCTTTCTTTCTGGTAGCCTTCTAGTTCGGAGGTCTCTTTTGGCCCGTTTTTAACTAAATAAAAATAACTGCTTTATTTATTTAGAAGCAGGGTAATTTAAATTTCATTTTTGTATTATAATTTTTATAATTTCTATTTTATTAATCAAAATACAATGCCCACAAAATAATATTCAGTATTGGGCTGCCGAATCGCCGAACGCGTGCATGTTGAAGGGCGAGCCGAGATATAGTAGCTACTATAATGTCTTCAGCCGTTTGCAACAAAACTTTATAGTTTTGTTGCAAATGAATTAAGATTTTATAGTGCTATATATCAGCTTAATTAAACATAATTATATTGTATACACGGTATAAAATATCTGTAAAAATATTGCGCTGATAGTGCGTATTTTAATTATACCCGTCATGTTTGTGGTTTTTCATCATTATGCAGTCTGTTTAAAAAAATATTCAGAAACGCATGCAGTGCTACTTTTTGTATTTTTTCTGTTTAACTTTTGTTAAACTGCAGATCAAAATAGAATAGGCCTATACCCTAAATAAGGATAAATTATATTGGAACGCATCTCCAAAATAATCACATACAGAGATGTACGTTGCTATTACAGTAGTCAGCGCCGAACAACAGACAAATAATATATAAACTGAGGTTACAAAAGTTATTCAGTCTAGATCAGTGAGGGATTTTCTTTTCTTTCGTTCTTTAAATTAACATTAATGACTGGCGGCAGCGGCTGCTGTCAGTGCACGGATCCAATACACCCTTGTTTCCTTTCTCAGCTCTTTACGTTCACTTAAGACATAACCGGTTGTATTTATGGGATATTTTGATATAATTCTATGTGTATTTGTCCATTCGAATGTGTAAGAATGCGAGAAAGAGAGCTCAGTCCAGTGTTCGCATAGGCTATATAAGAGGCGACTTTTGTGCGTGCGTTTTGTGTGTGTGCGCACCACAGAAAACAGCGCGCGAGTGCAGAAGTGAGTTCTATTCGTCTTCTTGCAGTTGAATCTTTTGAAATCGCAATAAATGCGCATACAAAAATCGAGAAGCAGAATCGAAATGTATAATTTTATAACAAGTAATTTGATTCCTGACCTTACGCATCTGATCTGATTTCCGAAATTGGAATAGCTTTTCGATGCCCAACCCTCCTACTAAATTATTTCACTCTTGCATGCAAAAAGACCTGGTGATTATGGGGCTATGTAAAATATTTTTTACAACTTACTAGGTTTATCATTTGTCATTTTTTTCCCGATAATGTCAATAATCGTCTGTTACCTGACTGTTGACATCGACATCGCGATACTTACAAGACATCGTCGATATACGATGTCATATCGCCCAGCCCTACTATGCACTATTTACTGTCTGACTGAGTTTGCAAGGGCAACACTGGGATAATGATGAGCTGATCTTGAAGTTATATTACATTTTATTACCACTCATCTTAGGTGAATCATATGAAATTACAGCTCGTTTTAATTCTAGGATTTGCTTTAGATCTAGTATTGTTTGCTCTACTAGTCAAAAGTTTGAGGATTTGGCTGGTGCTGATCCAACATCATCTTTTTTGGGCATGATGTCTAATTTCTTGTCAGTGTACCTTGCCAATGTTCTTGCCAGTGTATCTCATATTGTTTAATTTATTAATACTTTCACAAATCATATAACATATGAATAAATGAATCCATTGTAACACTGCACCTAAGCACTCTACTCTGTATTCAGCATCTAGCAGAATTTAATCAATCCTCATCGTGACCTAGATCAGAGCGTGTTTAGGTGAAATCTGTGTAGGGTTCTTTGTTTGATGGGCTGCTCTCATTTGTGTAGAAAGTGAGTTGGATGCTCGGGGTGATGGGTGTTGCCTCTGTCATTAGCTGGAGACTCACTGCTCACCTGCCATTGATTTCAGTTTCACATGAAATCAGACATGGCCTGCACTCCCATCACACCCACTGCCCCACATACTGTACACAGAGTCTTTGAACTCTTCCGTCACTTTTTACTCATCTCTTCTTGCTCAACACTTTTTTTTTTGTTGTTGTAGACGGTGCATGTAGCCACAACTAATGTAGATCTTTTTCAGTTTGTTGATTAAAAGATTCATTACTTTCTCTGTGTTCTCCTGCTTCTTTCATTCTCTACAAGTACATCATGCCTTGTTAGATTACATTTAAAGAAAGTGTGCAAAATGTTCATACTGAGTGCTCAAATGGGCATTGTGGGTTCGAATCTGGCTCACAACATTTCTAAAAGTCTAAAATTAGATACAGTAGTAATAGTATGTGGTGTAAAGTATTATTTCCGTTCACTCTCTCTTCCACTTTCAGTTTAACAGTGCAGCACGACAGCTTATAGAACTGGACAAGCCATCTGAATGTGGAGGAGACTCCAGTGAAGGGACCTCGTCCTCGGGCCCCCAGGCTAACGGCTCCCAGAAAGCCACTGGAGAGAAGAAGAACAGTAAGAAGCGACACTCCTTCACCTCTCTGACTATGTCCCATAAGCCCTGCCTGGCCCCTCCACCACAGAGACACTCCATGGAGATCAGCGGCCCGGTTCTGATCAGCTCCTCCAACCCCACAGCAGCGGCCCGGATTGGAGAGCTCAGCGGAGGCCTGTCCTCCAGCGCACCTTCACAGGTGAGAGATGATTAATGGATTGACACTCATGCAGCATATCAGAGCACACCATGCAGCCTTGTGTTGTGACTATGTTAGAGAGATTTGGTGATGGGGAAACAGATCATCCATAAGGAGAGGAAGATGATGATTATTTCAGCATGATGGTGGCTGACCTCTAAATGTTCTGTTCCTCATCCACTTTTTCTCTCTCCGTGTTATATATAGATTAGTTCTCATACTGAGTGGTGGCAAGGACATCATTTCTCACTGAGGATGAGCTTCTCAGCTGTGGCCATGGTTACACAGCCTGATAAGTTCACATGCACTCGCACACACACTCAGTACAGCAGGATCTGCACAGATGTATTAAAAATAGACTGGGGAAGAAGAAAGTCAGGCTCAAATCGGACTCCCACTAATGCCTTAATTTTCCTTGGAGATATCTTGAAGTCCTGTCTCAAAGCAGATGTGACATGATCACCTAAAACAAGGCTTTCTCATATACTTGGAGAAGTTTGTCTTGATAGGCTAATGTGAATGCTGTTTTCAAATTTACTCATTTAGCCATTGTTTATTAGGTACCACTGTTGATAGTATGTATGGATATGGTATAGTTAGTATGATTTTTTTCAGACAATATATATATATATATATATACAGTGTGTGTATATATATATATATATATATATAAATTTTAAACCCTTTTGATAATATTCTATACATTTTCTCAGTTCTCTGTCTCTTACTGTCAATATTCTATAAATGTCATTATATACACTACCATTCCAAAGTTTGCGATTTGTAAGATCTTTTTTTGTGTATTTGAATATTTGATCAAACATATAGTAAAACAATTTATATTGTTAAATATTATTACAATTTAAAATAACTGTTTTCTATTGTAATATATTTAAACATTTATTTTTATTCCTGTGATGGCAAATCTGAATTTTCAGTATCATTACTCCAGTCTTCAGTGTCACATGATCCTTCAGAAATCATTCTAATATGCTGATTTCATGCGCAAGAAACATTTATTATCAGTGTTGAAAACTGTTGTTCTGTGTTAATGTTTTTGTCGAACCCATGATGCTTTTTTTCCAGGATTCATAAAGGGGTCATATGAAGTTGCTAAAAAGAACATTGTTGTGTATTTGGTGTAATGCAATGTGTTTAAGCAGTTTAAGGTTCATAAAACACATTATTTTCCACATAATGTACATTATTGTTTCTCCTCTATGCCCTGCCTTTCTGAAACGCATTGATTTTTACAAAGCTCATCGGTCTGAAAAGTGAGGTGTGCTCTGATTGGCCAGCTATCCAGTGCGTTGTGATTGGCCAAATACCTCAATAGTGTGACAGAAATGTTACGCCCCTTACCCTACAGCACCTTACCATACTGTGATGCCCTGTGTCCCGGCGCGACAAGACAAAAACAATATAACCCATTACAAACGAGGCATTTGTTGCATCCAGTGGGGACATAATTACTGATTATAATGACTTGTACTGTCTTTTTACGCGTTGCGTTGCGTATCGCGCTGCGTAAACATAAAACATAAAACCATGTCTGCATTTGTGATCGGAGAAATGACAAACAACAAGCGCTACTATACACTGCTCAAAACTCGTGTTTGAAACATCAGTGGCCCTATTCTTTAAATATAAAAAACGTACTTACAGGCTGTGAAGAAGCACCAGACTGTCCTTGCAAAGTTGGAACTGCCCCACTTTATGGGATGTGACGTGACATGTGGCCAAGTATGGTCACCCATACTCGGAATTAGTGCTCTGCATTTTTCCCATCCAAAGTGCACACACACAGTAGTGAACACACACACCGTGAACACACACCCGGAGCAGTGGGCAGCCAGTTGGGGGGTTTGGTGCCTTGCTCAAGGGCACCTCAGTCGTGGTATTGAAGGTGGGCGAGAGCGCTGTACATTCACTCCCCCCCTACAATCCCTGCTGGTACGAGACTCGAACCCGCAACCTTTGGGTTACGAGTCCGACTCTAACCATTAGGCCACATTTTCCCCTTTAGAAACAGACACCGGCGTTGTAGGCTACTCTCACAGGAAACAGTCCTCATCCTCCGCAAAATGCGCTGCACACATCTGAATATTTGGGTTGAACTGTTCTGGAACAGTGTTGTAAA